CACATGACGCGGCTACTTGAGAGCGCAACAGGAATCGTTGCTAGCTGCCAGTCGGTAGTTCCAAGTTGACTCTCATATATCAATGTGACCCATCTGAGTGCTCTATGGCTCTTGGACTGTCATGCTTAACGGTATTTTTAGCAGAAACACACACGTATTGACATACATTTTGTGCTTTTTTTTTACTACTTTTTTTTGGTGGGCCAAGGGGTTATGGGATGTACGAGGAGTCCTGCTCCTGCGAGCGACTTTTACGGACAATTTGTCAACGACATGGACAATGATAGCAACAGAAATTGTTGCCAGTTGTAAAATTAAAATGTCAAAGCCGACAACAACCACAACAACAACAACGACAAGAACAACCGGGTAGAGAAGCCCACCCAGGACATCCAACCAAGTGCGGGGCCACCATGAATGGAATCCATCAACCACCCGTGGAGCAAAGGCCCCCAGCTGGCAGTTGTCAAGCAACGCAGCAACGCTCGTATTCAATCAGTTTTCAAATGCGACGAGAGAACAACGCATATTTCTTAGGGAGGATGGTGTAGCAGGGGCTTGGGTGCAGGGCGGTATCCACTTAGCCTCGGGAGGTTTCGCATGGTTGGCATATGCCATGATATGATCATTTCTAAAATAAGCTCCCATCTTGGGCATATTAAATCTGAAGTTTCTAACACATTTTATGGCAAAAACTAAAAAACCTCTTCATAACTAAGAGCTGGGTGAGGTGAGGTGAAGGCACTTTACCAAATTAATTGGATTAGCTGTGATTAAGAAGTACACTAAAGATAAATTAAGACTGAAACGTCAACCAGCTTCCAAGAAGTTGAGAATATTGAGATATTTTTAAAAGAATATATATGCGATTTTCCTTAAAATATTTACAGAACTCTGTGAACTATTTGTAGCACAACTTTAACTAAATTAATCAGCAAGTCCCATACACAGAATATTTATATTAGCAAACAAGATTAAATATTACTAATCATTGGGACAATAATACTAAATAATAATATATACAATTGTCTTAAGCTCTTTAAAAACTTTTTGTAACAAAATTTTGACTCAACCAATTTACAAATGATACAAAGCTTAAAATGAAAAATTGTGCGAAATTAAATTTAAAACTAAAAACCAGAAAAGACATTTAAATAATTTTTCTATTACCTGTATCTTTAAAAGGTTGACCTTTTATTTGTTTACTTTTACAGCACTAACATCAAACCTTTAAGATTTTTGCAACACTGGAAAAATTTGCTAAAAGTTCTTAAAAATGGAGATGGAACACCTCATAAAATTAATATGCTAGACCGTTTTCTATCCTTAATGAATCATTAACATATACAGCACTGTTATAAGACTTTTTAGGACGTTTACAACACTAAAAGTGTTTAGAAATGGACATAGAGTACCTCAAAAAAGTAGTATGTTACACAGTTTTCTATTCTTTAAAATTTTTAACTTATACAGCACTGTTATAAGACTTTTGAAGACGTTTAAAGCACTAGAGAAGCCAACTAAATCACTTATCTACAAACTGCTCTTAGGAATGCTCATGGAGTACCTCATTAAAATAGTATTTTTTTTTAATCTTATGCAACACTGCTCTAAGACAACTAATTCCACTTCTGATTGCATCATTTTGTTATTTCGTTGCCAAGCTACGGAGCTCTTAACTAGCCAACCTGCTGCCTTAACCAGCAACATATGTTTTCAGCCATCAGGCAAAAACACAGAGTACCACCCTAATGAGAAAGAGCCACCCACACACCCTTCAGCTCTACGGGGGGTTGCGCACAATTCCATCAGTAACAATAACACAAAATACTTTGCAAAAGGAGCGCTCGATGGCATCCTTGACAAGTCGCCTACACCACCCGTTGGCACACGTTGGATTCGCTGTAATGTAATGTGTTCCCCTGCCTAGCTCCCCGTCTCAAACCCACAAGCATTTTATTTTCTGCGTACGGTTTTTTTCCAAATTGTTGTACTTTGATGTTTGTTTTTATGTTTTTGACTTGTTGCATTTGCAGTTGATATTTTGAGTTAGGATTTGATAAATAGCATCAATTCATCTCGTGGTATAAATTTTAATCAATGAAACATAAAACCCGAAAACGACGTGTACATATGTGTAATACACAAAATAGACCCCATTCCAGTGAGTTGCTCGAGTGTAAAATACCCTGTAACTACTGTGTGGTTGCAGAAAAATGTTTAATTAAGAAAGCTTCAATAGTACCCGACACTATCAGTAGTTTTTTTTTTATAAAATTTTATAAATAATCATTTATTTCATCATTTATAAAATCATTTAAGAAAAACATTTAAAATATATTTTTTTAAGCATTTGTTTAAATAAAAATTCACGTCTAATGTTAGAAGCTTGAAATTTTGTTATGTGAACATCCTGGAGTTTACGTAATTAATATTTAATTTGATCAATTTTATAAAATATAAAATAAGCGAAATAGCAAAGCCCTCGAGAAATAGTCGGGGACAAATAATCCTATGACTTAACTATAACATCCCAACAAAAATAAATATGCCTTGCAGTTTGATCAAGGGGTGTTAATATAGCGTATGTTTATACTTAAAAGGTACTACTATACATGCTACATTTAAAGTCAGGAAATCAGGTTAATGCCTCGTCGGGCAGTTAAAACCGTAGCCGGATGATTTTCTGGCCGAGCGACTAAACGTGTGAATTTTATGAGCTGGCTGAAATTTTAAGGGGCTTTCAATTTAATGGGCCAATGCGATGCGTTAAGAACACCAGACCAGGTGAAATAAATTGCAGAATTCCAGAAATGCATGCAAAAAAGATTGTACAGAGATGCTGGCTGAGAAGACTCGGGTTTATTTATTGTTCGATGCTTTATGACAATATCCTTTGTGCGGTATTTTCCGGTTTTGCCTACAGTCGCACCAGGTGTCGACGACTGCATGCGTCAATTACTTAATTTTAATGGCTTTTATTATGCACTCGCACACACGAGAAAGTCTAAAAGGCCAACACACACACACAAACACACACACACACACACTCACACGCACATACGCCCATAAACAACGCCCGCCGTGTGGGCCATTAAAAATAAATAAAAGCCAATGAAGTCAAGTTGGAAAAGCCACTGGCCATGGAACTACTTAGTCGAGTGCAAAGGACAAGGAACAATAACAATTTGGCAAGAAAAACTGAAGCAAGCGAAATAAGAATGTAAGGATAGGGAAAAAATGCCGAGTTTGGTCAAAATATCTTGATAGACATATAAGTTTTCCATACAAAAACATTCGTTTCGATCGATCGGGCTTATGGCAGCTATATGATATAGTGGTCCGATATATATTTAGGGAGCATAGTTATCCTTACAATCCCAAAGTTGGTTGAGAAATCTTGACAAAACAACAAAGTTTTTTATACAAGAATTGAATTTCGGCCGATCGTTCCTATGGTAGCTATATGATATAGTGGTCCAATGTTAATTAGATTTGGTATATATATGAGGAGCATAGTGAAGCTAATAAATGCCCGGCAAGATATCTTGATAAATAAAAAAGTTTTCCATACAAGACCTATTTTTTGACCGATCGTTCTCATGGCAGCTTTAGGATATATTGGTCCGATCCGGCTGGTTCTGACATATGTACTGCCTGCAGCACAAAGACGGACATATAAAAAGTTTCATTTTTAAAATTCCTTCTACAAGAGTATTAAAATTGGAGCATTCCAATCAAAATTAAGCAACTCCAGAAACTGAATAATTATTCTTTCTAATCAGATCGTAATCTTGATTTTTTTTCAATTAAAACGGGCATGGTCCAAAGTAAAACAGAGTAAACGGTGCATAATTAAAGGAAACTATCTAACTATTGGTAAATATAGATCAGGAGATACATGTATACATGTATGTATAAATCAGATCAAACTTATATATTGTTACAATAATTTGAAATTGATCTGATATTAATTAGCAAATTTATAAAGCTGTTAAAATAACCATAAAATATTAAATTAGTATTAAGCCTAAAACTAAAATAAAATAATCTACAATTAACGAGAATATTATAGTTGATAACTATTTAAATAATCTCTTTATATCAAATTATTTGTCCTGATTTTGTTGGCACGGGCAAGACCGATGAATACCCGCTAGTTTATAAATAATTTTGAGTCATGGATATGAAGCCGTTTCCAAATTGCAGTACTTATTATAAAGTATTAACAAGAAAATATAGGTTTTTTAATTTTTTTAATATGGAACATCTTGAAAAAGTGCAGTTATATGACCAAAGCATTATTGCAATATTTTTAATTTTTTAATTTAATTAATTAATTATACATTTGCATAGGACAAATTTTATTTCTGAATAATTTAAATTAACAACGCCTAAATAATTTGTAAGCCCCTGAAAAACATAATCGTTCTTTTAAATTCTGCTATTTTTATGGTGATAGCTGATAAACTTTTTTAATAAAAATATATCTTACGCTAATTAAAATATTGTAAAACTATATGAAAAATATTAATGCAAACATTACAAAATGTTCAAAAAAATTAATTATTTGCTAGTTTTAAAAAATTGATATAATTATGATAATTGAATGTTAAATAAAGAAAAAACCGGCATGCGCACACTTAAATATATATTTATAACATATATAACATTAATATACATATATATATATATATATTTGATAATATTCTAATCAAAGAAAATATTTATTAGTTTTGATTAATTGATATTAACTATGCATATATTTTGTTATTTAATTGCTGTATGTTTAATAAGCTAGTTTAATTAATCAATCACTTACAATAAATGTTTTAGTTAAATAGAATAATATTTCAAGACAGATTTAAACTATGCAACAGGTGGCAGTAGGCCCTATCTAAATGAGCCCAATCAGAATTGCTAATTGACGCATTGTAAGAAGAAAATTAAAATAAAATAGGTATGTATATATATATCTATTTATATATATAAAAACTCACCTGCATAGCTAAACAGAAAATTCACGCCAAATGGGGCTGGCGATTTGGTTACTTGGATGGTATTTGGTGCGAGTCCGAGTTTGAGTGGCTTTATATCTATCCACTTGTTGCTAACTGCCGCCTGCCAACTGCGCGTGTGTTGTAGTTGTATAGATTTTGTTTATGACGCCCCAACAACAAATAAACAAAACGCAGGTGTCGTGTGAGGCTTTTCTCGTTGTTGTTGTTGTTGTTGCCAGTGTTGCTGTTGTTGTTGGTAAATTATTACAGCGCGACGAAGACGCAGAATACGAAAAAAAACACACGCACACAAACGAACGCGCACACATATACACAACTACAGGCACACTTTCAATTACGCACTAACCGTAACAATTGTATAAACTTCATGTAAAAACTTAAGCTTGGATTGCACTTGGAATTTGTTTATGAAATTGAATGGTTATTGTTGTTGTTGTCACAGGCAGCAGCAACAAAAACAAACAGCTGCACACTCTTGCTGTTTGGCGGTATGGTGAGTATGCGCATCCCGAAAACCATGCTCATGATTCATTTTTCATAGCATTTACACGATATCTTTTAGAAATTTGAACACATAACACGCAATTTAGCACTTTAAAAAGCCTAATTTAATGGTAAGCAACAGCACAAAATATTAATAACAATAAAAAGTACAGCGTTTAATAACACTAGCTTAACACTTGCCAGCACTGAATGCGTTCACAACTGTTGCGCCCAGCTGAGTGTGGCTACCTACATAGCTGTGCGCACTGGCAGACATCGCCACCACGCAAATACCGATAGCTGCTTTTATATTAAATTGAAAAAAGGTAAAATTCCTAAATAATTTTCTAAATAATTTTTAAAATGATTAAACACGATTTACCCAAATCTAAAATGCATAATATGTATGCATTAGATAAAAAGAAACTGCTCATTCGAAAAAAATCACTTTGAATAATATTTACTTTTACTTCACAACTTTTAAGCAGCTGTTCTATTTACAACGCTTCGCAACACTAATTCACACGGTGTGTGGAATTTAGTTGCCTTTTGCGGCTTTTATTTGCCTGGAACTGGAATACAATTGCTGCCCCTCGCATTTAAGATGAGCGAGTTTCAAACATGGCTCAACGATCAACTCCGGCTGCTTAACACAGATGAAAGTGTATTTGGTGCGTACATAATTGGCATTTTGGAGGGCGAGGAGGAAACGCAAGATGAAAAAATAGAAGCACTCGAGGGCATACTCAGCGGGACAGGCGTAAGCTTAACCTTTTTTCCAGTTATAAACCTTATTATAGAGCAGCTAACTCTTGCAGGCATCCAACACTGAGGAGCTGGTGGCCAGCATATTGCAGAAGTGGCTGCAGAGCCATCCCAGTGCCGATGAGCCGCCGAAAAAAGGTCTGGACATTGATGTGAATGCACAACTAGCCAAGCTGCTTGAACAACAGAAGCTGCAACCTGCCGCCAAAGAGCGTGAATACACCGATGAGGAGCTGCGCATTAAGCAACAGATACTGGCTCAATATTCACAGGTTTAATTTGGTTGAAAAACTAAAAAGAGCAACTCGAACTAATTGTTCTGTCTGGTCCCAACCTTAGACTGCCGTCAGCGAGGAGGAACACGAGGATACCGATGGCGAAAGCGTTGAACCCAGCGGATCAGGCGTCGTGGCACCGAACACCAACAAGACGGACGTCGCCAATCTGGCCAAGGAGAAGCGCGAGCAGGCGCGCCTAGAAAGTGCGGCCAAAAAACAGAAGGACAAAGAAGATCGCGAGAAGCAAAAGCAGCTGCGCGAGGAAAAGAAAGAGAAACGCAAAACCGTCAAAGGCGAACGTCGCCGGTAACCGGCCTAAAACCCGTCTGCCAAACACCCTCAGCACAGATCAGTGCAAATTTTTGCTGTCTCCCAGAGACATTAAATCGAAAACAAAAACAAAACCTCTATGAATTCAGTCAAAATAATACTTATATACATACAATTTGTATTGCAATCGAACTACCAAAGTATCAAATTGTAATTATTATATCAATGTATTTTGTTGCGAATTGAGTTGATATTTCAAACTGTTTTTACTAAATTCAATTTAAATAGCAATCGCATTTTTAATTCAATTTCTAATGCTAACTTGACCTTCTAAGTAACTTCTAGGAATGATGTTTAGAACCCATTTTATATATAATTAATAGTAGTTAATAGTGTTTCAATTTATGGATCATCATCCTCCTCGTTTTCATCCTGGTCTTTGTCAGATCCCGGCTCCTGATCACCTGCGCCATCATTATTGTCATTCTCATCATTGTCCGCGGCGCTTTGACTTTGTTCATTTTCCGCCTGTAGCTCTGCAGATAGATTTTTAATAGCCTCTATATCATCTAACTCTATTCGCCTATTGTTAGGATCCAAGCAATTGACTTTGACATCTATGAAATCACTAATGTGTTGCTCATCCCAGCTTGAATACTGAAAAAGAAGATTAAATACAAACGATTTATTTCCAAACAATTCCTATAGGAAACAGATTTTATATTAGTTTGATTTGTTACGAATTTGTAGATACGCATATTAAGAGAATATTGAAATGATCAAGGCTAGCTTGAAAACTTATATTAAAGCCGATTATTCCTATACGTATGAAATTGTATAGCAAAATTAATAAATACCAAATTTTCTCAAGCTATCTAAGGTTAAAAAAGTTCATAAAGGAACTTAATTTTTGCCTATATTGTATAATGTGAGAAATTATTGACCTGACTATTTATAGTGATATATTTTGTACAAAATTATTCCTTCATCTACAGGATACATATCCCTCATAACAGATTATTCCCAACTATACTGTATACGAATTCTGGTCTATGCAATACTTCGTCCTTAGATACTGTTAATAATAAATATATAATGTTGGATCTCCCCTCCTGACGCCTCGTACATTGTACTTATAAAATTTATATAGAAAAGGAATTTCAAATAAAATAGACCTTACCACAGAGCTGGAAGTAAAAAGCAACTGTTGCTCCTGCGGCTTGGCCGCATCCTGCGACGTTTTGACGCGCAAATATTTTTGCAATAGATTCGTTTGCTCATCCTTGCGCCACAGGCACAGCCGACTGTTCTGCAGCCAATCCTTGTCCATTAGATCCCGCTTATTAATCAACAAATCCTGTTGGGTTAATTTAATGAACTGTTTCTTGGGCGGCAGACTCTGCATTCGCTTCGATGTGGAAGTGCTTGCCGCAGCGGGATTATCGAAATCGTCATCGCTGGGATCCGTGTCCAGCTCATCGTCATCCTCATCGACGGACTCAAAGTCCTCATCGCTCACCTTAGACAGAGTGGCACGTCTCTTGGTTTTGGATGCAGCCGATGTGGCTGCCTTGCGCTTGCGTCCTACGCCGCCAGCATCGCCGCCGCCGCCGCTGCTGCTGTTGCCATTGGCACGTGATTGTTTCTGTTGGCGCTTCTTGTTGGGCCGCCAATCCTCCTCGGAGTCATCGTCGTCGGGACTGTAATCCTCCTCGTCGGAGTCCAAATCAAACGTGGTGGTCACCAGTTCGGTGCGACTACGCATTTTACACCTGAAACTGACAGAAATTCTCTATCCTGTATTTTCTCTAGCGCTGACTGCGGCTGCTGCGTCGCAAAGCTGACTGAAAATTGTTGTTGTTGAGACTCCGCACAAATCGTTCGGGAAAATTGCAATACATCTTCTCAGAAGCGTCCATGTTGGGGGTTGTTTTGCCTGGTCTCCGGACTCTCAGCTTCTTTCCAAAAGCTTTTTGTGCCTGAAAGCTTGCGGCAGCGTTGCATTCGTCAGGGGATTTTCTGCACATTGAGCTTTTATTACTTTCCTTTGTAAGATACAAGCTGAACTTCGAATTAAAATGCAGCATCAAAAAAGCTTTCAATAAGAGAAAACTCAAAACCGTAAAGGTTAATTAAAGTGAACTTGATATTAAGCACCAACAAAAAAAGTTTCTTAAACAAAAACTGATTGCTTGCAAGATACTCCCCAAAAACTATAGATTGTGTGCCATATTAATAAGATTTTGCTTATATGATATTATTATTATTATCTATGTTTAGCTCACTTTGAGAACGCAATTATTTTTCAAAAATATTTCGCTAATAAATAACACAATATCTCATAATTTTAAATAGCTATAAAAAATTTGATATTTTTATATCTATATCGACAATAATTTTTATTTTATTGTTTTTCAGGCAGTTATTTGAGACATTGCTTTGATTTTGCCAAAATAAGCGAAGTATTTTGGCAAAATTTGTATGCCCCTCTAAAAGGGGCATAAACATATGCGATAAGTATAAAGAAATTTTAAGAAATTTGTAATTGCATTGGAATAACCTACTAGATGAAGTGCTCTACAATGACTACCGGGCTTTTCTGAGTACTTGTATACAAATATCATAAAAGCGTCTTTAAAATTGCCTAATAATATTGAAACTTTTGCAATACTCAGCATATTCGAACTTCATCAGTTTTTCTCATGCTCTCGCTGTGCTTGCCTTTGTGAGATGTGTCCAGTTCCAGCAGACGCTGTCGGAATTCACGCATACGCTTAACGCTCAGATCAGGCGGCGTCTGTGGACGTGAGTTTTTGGTGCTTCTTTTTTGTTCTGCAGGTGTATTGTCATTTTGAAGATCCCGACGACGCTGACGCAGTTCACGCATGCGCTGAGCACTTGATTTGGGTGTAGTTCTTATACGCGGAATCTCGCTTGATTTGTTTTCGCTATTTTTAGCAGGCGTCTGGACATTTTCCGGTTGCAGCAGACGCGAATGGAGCTCACTGCTTTTTTGGGTACTTGTTTTACTGGCCGGCAGTTTAATAGGCTGCTCTAAATTCATGAGACGCTGACGCAGATCCTGCATACGCTGCCTATTCGGCGGATGAGTTGCACTGTCGGCTTTCCTGCGGCGTTGTCGCATTTCACGCATTCGCTGTGCGCTGGATTTAGGTGGAGGTAACGAACGTGGATCAGCAGCTGATCTTTTGCTGGGCTTGATGGCCATGTCGAGTTTCAGAAGACGCTGATGCAGCTCACGCACAATAATGCGGCGATTATTTGATTTCACTACGGCAGGCAATTGATGTGAGGCTTGTGCCCGTTGGGACACAGTGTACTTGCCGCTTACAGCTGGAATTGATGTACTTACAAAATATATAAAATACGCTTTCGGATTTAGGTAATCATATTTACCATGCTCTACCGACTGCAGCTTCTGTTGTGCTTCTTCATATTCCATCTTAATCTCCCTGTTAACACCCGGTTCTATTTTTATGGGTCCTATGTCCATTTCAGTTACTTCTAACTTTTCCATGTCCAAATTCGTTGCTGTGTTAACTTTGCTAGCATTGCAATGCTTGGGTTCATTGTATTTATCTTCATTGTTAGCTTCCGTGTGCTCCTTTTTAATGCAGCTCACATCTATAAGTTGTTCCATTTTAAAATAATCCTTGCCGTAGTTTTAAATAACACAACAAAATTACTTCGTGTTGTTTATAAAAAACAGCTGTAGCTAGGGATGGAACATTCGGCAAATTCACTCTTTCATGCGATAGTCATCTCTATGGAGCCAAAAGAACCATCTCTAAAGAGCGCAATAAGCACTATTTGAACGACTTGCTATCTTATCACAATTTAATCCTTTTTATATTTTCAAAATTAGTATTTGTTCTATTTCTGCTCCTTTTTCTTACTCTCTTCATTAACATTTCCTGTAGTTATTGTTTATCGACCCTTTTATTTCGTTTATCTTTCGTTTTTTTTTATACTTCCACACGCATATAGAAGATATTTTCGACCCAATAAGTTATATATTCTTGATCTGCATCAACAGTCGAGCAGATTTAGCCCAGTCCATCCATCTGTTATTTTGAAAACTACCTTCGCAGTTTAAAAGCTTTCATCATAAGACTTTGCAAAGGTCCATAAACTTCCATAAGTCTCAACCGGCCAGATCGGACTACTATATCACATAGCTGCCATAGATATTAATAAAATTATTTTGTCAACTTCAAATTGCAGTATTTTATTAAACAGTAATCAAGTCTAACATATTCACTATTCGTTTTTTTAGCTACGTATTTTTAAACTTATGTAAATGCACCCTAAAACCTTTATTTATATTATTAATATTTACATAGATGTTTTGGTCTATAGCTTTTTTGTCATTTAGTTGGATTTAAATTGTGTCATTAACATTTACTTTTTTGGTTTTAGTTTTTAATTTTTTATTTATTCTATCCTTGGCGTGCAGAAAATGCTGTTGGCAAATTTTGTTAATATCAACATCCGTGGCATAACTGAATCTTAAAAATCCAATTTCTGTGAAAGTTTCAAGTTATACGAGAATTATAAAATATATCATTTTAAATAGAAAACTTACCTTTAATGACATTAAAGGTGGAGAAGCTTTGGAAACTGGGTTTGTCATTGGTGCCACACCAAGTTATATTGGTGGATACTTCATCCGATAATATTCGCCGCAAAGCCAGTCTAGTAAATGCTGAGAGATCGCTTCCACCAACTCGCAGCAGAAAGTTTTTCTATTAAATAAAATTGATTATTTTAAAAAATTTAAATTTTTTTTTAAATAACCCACCAGATTTACGCGAAGATCATTTTCCACTAAGAGTTTTTGATCAAATTCCTGAAATTTCGCGAGCGTAGGCAGCGGCAGAGTTGGCAAAAGATTTGATTCACCCTCTGTTACGGGTAGAGCTCTTAACTGGCTGACTTCGTTTCTTAGATTTATGATTTCTTCGGTTAGTGTATTGAACATTCTTTGGTAAGTTTCATTCATAGTTCGTATTTCGTTTAAGATTTGATTAAATGCATGGCCAGCTGAAATATTCGTTGCTGCTCCTGTTAAAAGGATTATCAGACGAATAATATATATTATTTAATTTTGAATATTATATTATTATACATATGTATATTAAAATATTACCTTGAGTTGCCAAATTTGGAATTTGTGCATCTATGCGTTGTGAATTTGCGGGTATTGAACTTTCTAAAATGAACATAAGCAAGCTTTAGTAGAGTTATCGACTAAGAGTTATTAAGTATATATTATATATTATATATTATATTATATATATATATATTATACATTTATTTAACACCTCTTAAATCTTTTTAACACATCACAAATACATTTTTTTGTATAAATTTAACAGCTTATAATATATAATTATTTATATTCTTAAATTCAATTCAGCAGTCCAGCTTATTTCTTGGAAAGCTTCTCGCAGCTCATTTTCTGCGGATTTGCCACCTGGATTTGGTTTTGACGCTAAACAAAATATTTAATATGCATAAATATTTATAATATGCAATATTTAAGTACGTTACCTATCGGGACGCCATAAAAATTGGGAACGTTTATAAGCGCCTTCTTGTTGTGTACCCCCTGCACATTGTACGCTTGTGTGATGTTATCTGAGACCATGTGACGCAATCCTTTGAGGATGCGATAGGGCTCTATAAATAGATATTATAGCGTTCACCTGTAATTGAAATATGTTTGTTTTATGCAAGTAAAATTCGCATACGTGTTAATTAATCTTACATAATCATCGGAGGTCTCGTTATTTATTTCTGCTCTTATCAACAGCAGTTCCTCTTCCGTTTGTGTAGAAAACTTGCTCTGCAATTGAAGCTCCTCGGCCTGTTGTTGCAACAGCTGACCCAGCATCACCTGTTGCTCGGCAAGCGGCTGCAGCAGAAGCTGCAATTTTCCTATAAATACAATTTAAATAAATAATCTATATAAATGACAAATTATATAAGAGGCCGGCATCCCACCTTCGGGGACAGCTTTCTTCTGTTGCATGGCTTCTAAAAAAAATAAATTTATTAGAAATTATTTTCAAATAATATATGATTTTGGTACTTACCTTTCATTTCATCCGCTTTCTTCTCCAACCTATTGAAATTCACGAAACAAATACATAAACACTTTTTCGACTTGAATAAATGGTTTAAATGGTGGCTTGGAAGGAAAAAATTGTAATATTTAAGAAGCTAATACCACGGTGCAGGCCAAAATAAAGTAAAGTTATAACTCCCGTTTTTATGATACTTATCCAAGCCACCTTGTTATACATATTTACGAGTCAATTGTTGAAAAGTTTTCACTCTTTCTTACTTTTAATTAAAAACACACGGTCCGCGAAATAATTGTGATATATATGTGTAAAACATGTGGTTTTATTGCTTTCTACAGTTTCCTTAAGCACGAACTACAATGAAAATTAAAAATATAAAATATTACATACATATGTATATACATATACACATACATATATGTATTTATGTATATAAATATATATACATACCTACAATTAACGGAGTCTGCCATTGTAAGCTCATTTGATTAATACAATATCATATAACTGTAAAATAAAAGTACTTACGCTAACGTCTCTAATAAATATTTTTTTAAATTTATATGTTTGTACAAAATTTATTAATTATTGTGAAGCCTTTTGCGCAGTCCAACTCACACACACACAGTTACTCTCTTAAGATTAATGGAGAGGGAGAGAGAGCTGCCCGGCTGTTGTGCATAAGGAATACGCAAAAAACGACTATCATTCATTTTTCTTTCGTGCTTCATTTCTGCTTTTTCTTCTTATTATTTGTGTGAGATTATATTACGGCCCTAGTTTTTAATTTATATCGCAATTAACGTGAAAACAAAGCTCGATTACTTTGTGTTTTAGTTCGCGTGATAAAATTCGTGAAAGTGATCGCTAATAATTTAAAGATTTAAGTTTTCTTTTAATCATTCACCTCGACCAAAATAACAAAATATATTCTGTGAGTTAACGCGTATTTTTTGCTTAAGAGAGTTTCTATCGTTGTAATCGAATATGCGGTGTGCTTAACGTTAACTAAAGTTTAATATTGCAAAAAAGAAGTTGCTAATATTCCATCAATTTTAACACGCACATAAATCAGCGCATAGGAAGAATACGAACAGGCAGCAGCAGGTACGTACATACTTTCATTTATACTTATGTATGTACATATATATATACGTACTTAGTTTAAAGTAGTTTTCTTTACTGGCTAAAGCCTTATGGGGAGTGTCAAATAAGCAACCTCTTACCTTCTTTCAATCTGTAAGACATAAAATATGTTTTAAAACAAGTTCATAGATTTGTATTATATATTTATGGCTCACAAGGTTTGTGACCGCTGCATTTCGTGGGACGCCGTGGTGTCCATTTCCATTGCCCCACGTCCCTGTCCTATCTTCGTGGGTTCTACATCAATATTATTTGCTGTTAATTGCTCTGTTGCTTCCTCCACACATACGTTCGGCTCCGGTTTTATTTCATTGCTTTCCCATTGCTCAGATACAATGTATTCACAATAGCCGTTCTCATATTCCTTTTTAATGCTTTTCGGGCTCACAATTGATTCCATTGTGGGAATATATGCCGGCAGTAGTTGTATGTAAACAAACTGTAGTTTTCATTTATTCGATATGGAACAATAATAAGATTAGCGATGGTATAATGCTTAAGTGCCGGTTACAGCAAGTACTTTAAAGTATTTAGCAGCAGCTATCGGCAAGATACTCACGAAATTTAAAAAATAAATTTAAATGTGGGCTATTCTCAGATTACTTTAATTTTATTATTTTTTTTTATATATCGATTATATAGATATATATGTCTTTATATACATTATTTCCTAATAGTTTTAATTTATGGTCTTAATATTATTTATAATAATGTACAAAGCTTTAGATACAGCTAAAATTCGAGTTAAATATTGTTTTTGTATATGTACGTAACTTAGTACAATTTTAGCTGGCCCTTTTTTTGATTTTGCGAGATCGACTTTTATGGATCCTGTTTTTGTTGATTTTATACGCAGATCTGATATTAATAACAAATTCTTCACGAGTCTCCAAGTCAGATGCTTCTATAATAAAAATAAGATATCATATAAACAAAATTTAATTTTTTTAAATTTTACCAAAAAGACCAGTTATGAAATGTTCATAAACTTTAATTGGCTTCTTGTTTTGAATGCCATCGTAATTGTATGAAAGAATCAATTTTTCACTAAATATCTTTGAAAAATTCTCTGTAATATTGGCGCAAAGAAGTTTTCGCATGTGCATTATCTGAAAAGCAGAACGTAAATTATTGTTTATTAAATGACATTTTCTTATATCTTTAGAACACTTACAATATTTGGTTTCTGCTCAGTTTGCAGCTGCTCTTCTAGGTATTTCAGATTTTCTTCATCTTGAAGTGGAAAAAGGTCTGCAAATTTGTCAGTTGTTAGGCCAAGATTCATTTTTAATAGAACACTCATTTCGGCCATTGTTTTCTTTAGATCGCAGTGCTCTTGCAATATGTGATCTTGTTTAAGCAAAACATTTTGCAGCTTTTTATTAACATTTCGTAGCTCAATTCTCATATTAAGTAGTTCGTCAATCACGGAGTCTGTGAAATATGTAAAATCATGTAAACATTGTTATGTTGTTGTTAAATTATTTTAAAAGAAATCCCACTTATGTTTAATTAAACTAACCTGGATTTTCAGTAATATACAGTACTATGCTACAGCTAAGATGACCCAAAAAAAATTTCCAATTAGTTTGATTGCTTAAGTCAAGTATTTTGCTCAATACGCACCTGCCGATTTAGTAAGCATATTATATCATTCCTTTATAATTAATATATCCTTTAATAAGGAAACTGTAATGTATTTCACATTCTCTTAATTTTTATTTCACTTTCACTTTAATTTTGAAAACAATATAAAAGAATTTCAACAACAAAGAAAATTTAAACGACTTTTAACAATTTTGTGTTCCTTGCAAAAATGTTTTCTATATGGGGATGGAATTGAATAATACTGCCAGCTGGTATTCGCCAAGTCTCAAGCCTTGTTTACTTTGTTGTTATTCGATGGGATCGTCATATATAAACTACAATCCTGAGGCTAGTTATTACTTTGTTTGATTGAACAGAACATTTTTCCGATTTTCCTATAAAGCATTTAAGTCTGACGTTGGTAAATCTCGATCCATGGTAAGACTCGGATTTAGTCTTGAAAAACAAAAATTTTAAAACATACCCTTATTATCAACCAATCTTGCTTATGGCAGCTATTTGATATCGTGCTCTGACCCAACATAAGGACGAGCGTTTACAAAGGTTCATTACAACTGAGACTAATTTACAAAGAAAAAGAAAATCGGGCATGGTCTAAGCGTTGGATACTCTCTATAAGAACTTTTAGAATATGAAAACTTAAGCAAAAACCGAACTTCAATCCTTGACAGCCCTGATGGCTCTCTGATTTGAAGTTAACATAATAACAATGCAGTTAAGTCCGAATTGTCCATATTGCCCAATAATAAGACTACGAAAGGGGAAACAATTTTTGCTTCCTAAGTAGCCTGTGCACCTCTTACCTTTCGTCAACCTGTAAGCCATAGAGACGATTTGCGGTTAAAAAGCGGGCTAAAGCTAAGATTTAATATTGCTTACTTGTTTTGTGGCTGCGTCATTTCGTTGATTCCTTCGTTGAGCGTGTTTATCGCCTCATTGGTCACAAAAAATTGATTCTTAACCGGACCAATATCGCAGTCATTGTAGGACAAAGGATCATCATTTTCGTCCTCGCCCGCAATCGGTTCCATTTTAATGTTGCCTACATTATAGCCGCGACCATGATCAGGTACAATGAAGTCTTCGTCGATTATTTCCGTTTTAAGTCTTTTTTCGCTTTGTTCCATACCTGCTAACGAGATCAAAATCAAAACAAAATTATTTGCTATCAAACAGCTGCCATTAGAGATGGTATGATATTGTCAGTTATTCTTGTCGCAGCTATCGCATATAGTCACCACATTCAAAAGCAGCGAATACACTATCGATTAGCTACTCGTCGTGATTATCGATACGGCACAACTATCGTTGCAATTTCAGTCGGTCATCAGCAAGTCTTATGCTATTTAGTTCTTTATTCTATAACGTTTCTTCCCGCCGCTGAAAATCAACGTTAATTTAACTCTTCATCATTTATTTTTGATCTTCTTCAACTTTACGACTTTCTTACTGTATATGAGAGAGGTACCAGTATGAGTGCTGATTTAAAAACAGAATTGAATAAGCTGACAAACGTGGAACACGTGGCGACGCAGCTATACGCCAAAATTAAGGATTCTAAGCTGGAAGAGAATTTGCCTTTTGGGGATCATAACGATGATGATTTGACCAAGCTGCAAGTCGAAAATACGAAACTCAAACACCGCTACGCTATAATTAAAAAAAGTATTTTAAGCTTACAGTCACAGACCACTTCTGAAATGCAATACGATGATACTTTTGCCATTACGGAACATTTGGAAAAAGTTTTTGCACAAGCAATAGCCACAGCCTATCCACGCTTCTCCAAGGTTCCAGTAATTATTGCAGCTGTGAATGCGTCCCCCAAATTCGGAGATTACCAGTGCAATAATGCCATGGGATTATCCAAGAAAATGAAAGATGAAGGCATCAATAAGTCTCCACGTGATATTGGCCTAGAGATCCAGAGATGCTGTCCGGCATCCCCAATTATAGAGAAGATCGAAGTGGCCGGTCCTGGTTTCGTTAACATTTTTCTCAGCAAGGAATTCGCGGTGAGCTCCTTAACCCGTATGTTGCGTGAGGGCGTTAAGCCGCCAAAGGTGCCAAGGAAGCGCATCCTAGTCGATTTCTCTTCGCCAAACATAGCAAAGCAGATGCACGTCGGCCATTTACGCTCCACAATAATTGGCGAGTCAATTTGCCGGCTACTAGAGTTTTTGCAGCACGATGTTATACGCATAAATCATCTGGGCGATTGGGGTACGCAATTTGGCATGCTAATAGCACATCTGGAAGACTGCTTTCCCAATTTTCTGAACGAAAGCCCACCCATCGGAGATCTACAGGAATTTTATAAGGAATCCAAGAAGCGTTTTGATGCCGATGAAAGTTTCAAGAAACGGGCCTACAACCGCGTCGTTACTCTGCAAAGCGGCGAGCCCGCAGCAACGAAAGCCTGGCAACAAATATGTGATGTGTCGCGTAAGGAATTTCAGAAAATTTATAATCGCTTAGATGTGACAATCCAAGAACGCGGCGAATCATATTATCAGTCACGCATGTTGACGGTAGTTGAGTTTCTGCGGAATAAGGGTTTGCTGGAGCTAGACGACGGCCGGGAAATCATGTGGCCGGATGTTAATAAGAGTGGAATTCCTTTGACAATTGTAAAATCTGATGGGGGCTTTACATACGATACTTCGGATATGGCAGCTATAAGGTGTCGGCTTGAAGAAGACCGCGCCACTTGGCTAATTTATGTCGTGGACGCCGGTCAAAGCACTCATTTTAATGGAATTTTTAAGGCCGCAGAGCGGTCTGGCATTTTAAATCCGAATATTCATCGTGTCGATCACGTGCAGTTCGGAGTGGTATTAGGTGAGGATGGTAAAAAGTTTAAAACACGATCGGGTGATACTGTGAAGCTGTCCGATCTGCTTGATGAGGGATTGAAGTACTCCTTGAAGCAGTTACAGGAAAGGGGTCGTGACCAAATACTGACACCTAAAGAGTTGGTCGAAGCTCAAGAAGCGGTCGCATACGGTTGTATCAAGTACACGGATCTGTGCCATAACCGTATTAGCGATTATATATTTTCATTTGATAAAATGCTCGATGATCGTGGAAATACCGCGGTATATTTGTTATATACATATACACGCATCTGCTCGATTGCTCGCAACTCTGGTGAAGATTTCAGCAATCTGGGTGAGATTTTAGATAAATTCAAAATTGTTTTGGAACACGAAAAAGAATGGAAACTCGTGAAAACCCTGCTCAAATTGCATGATGTTTTAATGAAGTGTGCAAATGGCCTATTTCTGCACTTTCTTTGTGAGTTTTGTTATGAGGTCTGCACTGTGTTTGCCGAGTTCTATGACAGTTGCTATTGCATTGAGAAAAATAAGGCTGGCGAAATCACTAAGATTAATCACAGCAGAATTTTAATTTGTGAGGCGACAGCCGCCGTTTTGCGAACATGTTTTCATATATTGGGCCTAAAACCTGTTGCTAAAATTTAATACAGGCGGCGTTTTTTAAAAAAATGCTTTATTGAGCTGTATGCTAAATGATATGTATCTAACGAAACAATTAATAAACTACTCGGATTTTTCCAAAAACAATTCGCTTTATTTTTGTTGCTTGCATTCTTGATGTGAATCTTATATGTCTAAACAAAAATTTAAAAATTCGAATTATTTTATTCTATAATTAAACACAATTTATTTATAAAGCCCAGTTTTGGAGGCGTATGTTAAAATACAGTTTCGTAAATGTACTCAAATATACAAATTTAAAAACATTGCAATAAATATATTTATTTCCATAGAAAGATTTATTTTTCAGGCAAAGCTAATATTTTTTATATTTATAGATTTTCTCTACTATATTTGAAGCATTATAATCCACAAAATTTTCTGTATGGTCAAAAAACTTCCTTTGTTTGGCAAACAATAAAAACGATTATAATTTTGGAACAATTCTTATTTCTAAGAGTTCTTAGTTTGATGTAAAAGATCTCCACCAATTTTCAGACCGTCAGGCTGGATTATGTGCAATTGAAATTCTTATCTATATAATTTGATTGCTACTTTAAAATATTTAAGCGCTTAACCAAAGCTTTGCGATTTCTAGTAGATCATAGATTATTTCATAAATTTGTATATTTTTATTTTCCATATTTGTATTTTAATTCCAATATACGTAACTCATGCTCATTTGCTAGCTTTTGATAATCCAACTGTAGTTGGCCTTGTATCTTTCGCTTCTCAATCTCTAGCTTCTTTTCCTCCAGTTTCTTTTTCCATTCAAACCTTTGATACTCCAAATCTAGCTGCCTTTTACGGTACATCCATTTTTGAGATTTAAGACGTTTATTGTCAACGAAAGCGTCTCTTTTCATCGTTTTCTTGACGGAAGCTGCATTATTTGTATTATTTGCCGACGACTCTATTGAAGTATTGTCCAGCTCGCTATGTTCATCGGACATGTCAGAATCGATCGAATCGTCTTGGTGGTCGCTGTCAAGAGTTGTTGCCATTGAATGCTCCTCTTTTTCAGGGCGGAACACATTTGCGAGTCGGTCGTAATAAGGACAAATTTTTAACAATTTTGCTGCAATTAGAAGTCTTGTTAATAGCAGGCAATATAAATGTTATGCAAGTGTTACTTTTTAAAACTCTATCTTCCAGTTTTGCGGCTTCACTGGAACTGCAAAATGCATTGGCCTTATGCAGTAACTTTTTCATATACTGCATTTTACATCTTATTCTGTTCCAATTACAGTCTAAATTCAAATCATTAATTAGTTTATTATAGTAAATCTGTGCCATGGGTTTCTGTGTTTAAGAAATATTAAGATTTTAGGTATTTATTATTATTTTTAATGTATTAATATACTTACTTCAATATTTCGGTGCAACATCATGTACTTTAGCACATTTATTATTACCCCATGCGACCATCTTCTCATTTCAAATATTCTTCTGCGTTTTTGAGCTGGCTCTGAAATTTTAAATAGACAGAATTAAGAATTTTTGTTGTTAGTTTGGAATGTTGGTGGGTAAATGGTAAAGCTCCCATGCCAGTAGTCACTGTCCTTTTCCTTGACAATAAATAATTGCATTGGAAATTGATTTAACAGAATATTTTTAATATTTTTGACAGTTTCAAAAAAAGCAAAATAATATTTATAAGAAGCACTCCAAGGGTTCCATTTATTAAGGCAACAAGAGTGATAGATATGGTTTTATATAAAGACATTATATATAAAGCTTGCAGTCTGTCAATTCTTGTAGTTTGATAATATCGCACCCGTTGCCTTGCAGCATTGTTTTTCTTTCTTAAGATGCTTCTAGGACTATTGATTCCGGTATCCAAACATATTTGCGCACCCCTTTGCACTATTGAATAGCAGGGAGATGTCTTTTATCGTTCTTCCACAGCCTCTGAAGTGAGGATAGACATATCATTCTCTTTGCTATCAAAAGGATTAATTTTGGTATTGGCAGCGATTGGGTTATTTTCGTCGAATATATTGTCCATTTCTTGATAATATTTCCATCTTGTTGTGCCTTCACCAGTTCTTAATTTATCCCTAACTATGGTATATGTATGCTTCAAATTGCGAAACTTTTTGTTCAGCTTTTCCTGGGAAAGTCCTCTAATTCCACGCGTCTCTAGTTTCTCAATTATCCTTGCCCACACATTTTTGTTCTTTATTTTCTGATCACGAAACTCTGCCTTGTATTCGTGATATGATGAGATCAATTGTTCATGATCAATAACTGTGCTTAACGAACTATTTGGATCGCTATATCCTTGCCGTTGGTATTATGATTTGACAAAACGCAAGAAGAATTTTCCTGATACATATATGTATATTCTAGGCATATTAGATCAAACTCTTACCTGTTAGCAATCTGTAACGCATAGAGATGTCATGAGCTCAAAAGTATATTAATTGTTTGAATAATATTTATTTCATACTTGACTGGCAGCTGTTCATTCTGTTGGGGCTCTTCGTTGTCCATTTGCGTTCCCTCACTGACCGCAGCCTCCTCTTCTATTTTATTGCTCACGCATCGGTCTGCCCCATTTTCTATTAATTCACTGTCGGCATAGTCAACCTCCTTCTTTTTAATGCAGACACCGGCTACATTTTCTACCATTTTAAGCTATTTTATTGCCGGCGATTCCTGTTTTGCAATGTAAACAAAGTAAACTAACATCAATAGGAACCAAACAACAGCTGTTATTAGGGATGAAAAAATATTAAAAATATGTATTTGTTTGAAGCATAAAGTTATAAGTGACAAGCAAAATGATTACAGAATATATGGTGGAACTTCTTAAATATTTGCTTGATTTTATTTTTTTAAAATCTATTTAATTTTCTTTATTATTTTTTAAGAATAGCAATCATGTGATATTGTTATTATATTAAAGATTTTACGATATGTCCTAATTCTGATTTTTAAAAACCTTTCTCTCTCTTTACGATATATATCGATAGTTTGGTCTACATCCAATTGCGGCCTGCGACTCACGCGCGGTTACTATTCATTTACCGTTTTTATTGTGAGCGTTGAAAATTTACGCGGCTTAATTGTGTTATTTGTGGGGTCGAATTTTCAATAGGTAATGCAAATTATATGTAAATACGAAAATATCATACATTTTTTTCAAGTGATCAATTAATATATCTAATCAGTGTGTGCGTAAGTACCGGTTATGTGTTTTTTTTTATAAACTAAGAAGAACGCGAATTTGTAATTTGAGTTAAAACAAAGAAGAAAAGCGACAAAGATGTGTGAAACAAGTGCGCGCGGCGGGAAACAAATTGGCGGTTGTGATTAATATAATAACCAGACAGAAGGGCTATCTTCGGCACGCCGAAGATTTAATACTCTTGCAGACCCAACCTTTTCATAATGCTCATAGTGCTTTGCCCGTATCTAAGAAGCACAGGGAAAATAGTTAATGCCGAGTATGGTTAAAATGTCATGAAAAAAAAAGTTTCCATACAACAACTTAATTTCGACCATTCGTTCCTATGGCAGCTATATGATAAAGTGGTCCGATCTTAATAGGATTTTGCATATATATGAGGATTATAGAAAAACTAATAAATGCCGAGTTTGATCAAGATATCTTTATAAGCAAAAATGTTTTTCATGCAAGAACCTACTTTTCGACCGATCGTTCCTATGGTAGCTATATGATTTAGTGGTCCGATCCAGCTGGTTTTGACATATGTACTGCGTGCAACAGAAAGAGGCACTTCTGAAAAGTTTCATAAAGATAGCTTTCAAACTGAGAGAGACTAGTTCGCATAGAAACAGACCGACGGACATGGCTATATCAACTCGCCTGTTGATACTGATCAAGAATATATATACTTTATGGGCTCGGAAATGCCTACTTCTATGCGTTACACATTTCACGACAAAATTATAATACCCTATGCAAGGGTATAAACAGCAAGAGAGCAACAGAAAGTGTCCGTAAATTTTGCGCGATTTTTTTATACAACTTCTAATAAAATTTCGGAAATGTGAAAAGAAAAGTAAATCGAAGAACGTGCTTTGGAGTAGATTTTGTGGAATTCAATCAAGTAACACAAGAGCGCGCGAGCATCAACTTCCAATAAAATGCACTATATGGCGACTGGAAAATCAAAAGTTGTTCAATTGGAGTATTCGTATTGGAATCAACTGAAGCAATAATTAAATAATTTCTCAACATCAAGGTAAATCTTTAGTTCGTTATCATTATAATAAAGTCATCATATGACATCTATTTTTGTGAACGTCGTTATCATGAACATTTTTTCAAATTCGTTTGTTTTTTTGTAATACTTTTTATAATATTTACAAAACGTATATCTCGAATATTCGATATTATTTTAAATCTATATTACTGGATTTACATATTTCTCATACAAAACGTTGATCACTTTTATTCTTTTATCCAGGTCCCTTGGCAATGCTCCTTCTACCTTTGTCAATGCATTTTCTAATACCTGCTTGCTGGCGTTAGGCTCACATTCTATTATGGTTTCAATTTTATTTCTCTCCCGATCACTTTCTTGGTTAAGCCGATCTTTCTCCATACTTTCCAGGGTATGTTCCTTATTGTTTGAGTATTCCAATACTTTCTCACGATTCTTTCGTGCTCTCTCCCTTGTCTTTTCACGGTAATATTCTAAGGGTATGGGGTCATTTTTTAACGCTTCCCTTCCTCGCTTTGGCATTATCCTTCTTTCAGCAAATGGTGCCGTCTAGAAAAGAAAATGATTTAAAAAATTAAGGGAAATATGTAAGAGCTTTCGATAGATATTTTTTTTAATAAAAGCAAAACAAAGATTAACCTTATCTACTGGCTGTAGAGGTTCCTTGTAAGCGCACACGCTGCTCATTACATCAAAGAACCACTTATTCGATTCATACTTTTTACCCGACCCTAATTGTTTATTGTTTAAATACTCAATCTTTCTCTGCACGCGATAGTAGCGGGACCTAATCGAACGGATTTTCTTTTGCATTTGCTGCTTGTCCGCATCAGGATAATATTCCTGATATTTGGCCAGCAGGCATGCACATTGTTCTCTTTTTCTCTTGGGATCACGGTAATCGTCTGAATTAATATCCCACATGCCAGGCGAGGAGCGATATGCCTTAAGAAATTCCTCTAAAAACTTTTGTTCGGCACACTCCTCAGGTCTGTAATACAATATAAATATGTTATTGTGTTATAGTTAAATAAAACCATGGCTTACAGATTTGGTTCACATATCGAGAAATCTTTGCTAAAAATTATAAGAACGGATTACAGGTTTTTTTTATTAGACATTCGAGTAAGGATGGCTCACTTCAAAGAGGATTCTTCGCTGTGCATTGTCTCCGATGTTTCAGCGTCCTCTTGCAGCTCCACTTTTACGGGACCAATATCAATTATATCCATAATTGGATAATCTGTTTTTACCACGCAGGGGTCCACATTACTATCTGAATTTTTTGCGCTCTCCCATTGCTCGGGTAATATTTGTTTTTCTTCGTCCTCATTTCTCGCACTAAAATTCGTCTTGTCAAGGACTTCCATATTTTGTGCCATTCTATCACAGACACTTTTTGTGTTATTTTCTGTTATTCCATTCGGAATTGCTACATTATCCGACTTTAATTTTCTTTTGGCCAGTGATTCGCCTGGAATTCGCTTCGTTTTGATGCTCAACATTAGACTCGCTTGAATTTTTAAATTTTAATTACAGTAAACAAACTAACAAAAAAATATAGACGCGTGCTTGAAACAATAGTTGTTTTTTGGTGATGGTATATGGATTTGAGTGACAGTGACTGTTCACCAATATTTTTATGTAGCAGTTTCTCGAAGCAGTCGCAGTAGTAATTTTGGGCGTTACAATGAAATATTCGTTTGTTTCGTTTGGTAACTGAAGTTACAAACCAAACTGAAGCACGTCCAACAAAAACAAAAATAAATGATTAAATATGTTTTAATAGAATTTATTTATTATAGATTATTTACCATTTTACATGGAGCTGCTTGTTCATTACTTGTATATATTTATTAATGGAAATTTGTAGAGATAGAAGTAAACAAATTCCACTCGAAAGGAACGCTTCATCCAGAAAAAGTGGAAAATGGGTGGAATTGAATAAAATGTAAAATAACTCTGATTCAATGACATTATATATGAACTTATCATGCAAATCTAAAGCAAATATGATACTGATTAGTTTTTCTGCGATTGACCAGGTTAAACTTGTATATATTTTTATAATACTTGTAGGTTTTTATAAAATGTACATTTACTTATATAATTTTCATTAATATTATTTTATGTTGTAGAATTCCCATATTTCTCATACAAAGCGTTGATCACTTCTATTCTATTATCCAAGTCCTTTGGCAATGCTCTTTCTACTTTTGCCACTGCTTTTCCTAATGCCTGTTTGCATGCATAGGGCTCCCAGCTCTCTTCTATTTGGGTTTCATTTTTCTTTCTGTCTCGATATCTTTTTTGCTTTATACGATTTGTTTCCAAGATTTGTTCTTTATTGTTAGACAATATCCTCTCACGATATTTTCGTGCTCTCTCTTGAGCTTTTTCACGGTAAAGCGCATACTTTATGGGGTCCCTTTTTAAAGCATCCCATAGCCGCTTTGACCTTAGCCTTCCTTTTACAGCAAATGATGCCTTCTAAAAAAAATATTAAAATTGTAGGAGATTTACGAAAGGAATATTATAGGACTTTTGACAACAGTCCATTTTTTAATATTTGAAGACATAAAAAATTTATAAATTTAAATAGAACGGAGGTACTAACCCCGCTAGTTGAGGGAATAACCTTATTAATTGGGTCCAGAGATTCCTTATTTCCGCACATGCTGCTCATTACATCAAAGAACCACTTATTCGACTCGTACTTTTTACCCGACCCTAATTGTTTATTGTTCAAATTCTCAATCTTTCTCTGCACGCGATAGTAGCGGGACCTAATCGAACGGATTTTCTTTTGCATTTGCTGCTTGTCCGCATCAGGATAATATTCCTGATATTTGGCCAGCAGGCATGCACATTGTTTTCTTTTTCTCTTGGGATCACGGTAATCGTCTGAATTAATATCCCACATGCCAGGCGAGGAGCGATATGCCTTAAGAAATTCCTCTAAAAACTTTTGTTCGGCACACTCCTCAGGTCTGTAATACAATATATGTTATTGTGTTATAGTTAAATAAAACCATGGCTTACAGATTTGGTTCACATATCGAGAAATCTTTGCTAAAAATTATGAAAACGGATTAAAGGTTTTTTTATTAGACATTCGAGTAAGGATGGCTCACTTCAAAGAGGATTCTTCGCTGTGCATTGTCTCCGATGTTTCACCGTCCTCTTGCAGCTCCACTTTTACGGGACCAATATCAATTATATCCATAATTGGATAATCTGTTTTTACCACGCAGGGGTCCACATTACTATCTGAATTTTTTGCGCTCTCCCATTGCTCGGGTAATATTTGTTCTTCGTCCTTATTTCTCGCACTAAAATTCGTCTTGTCAAGGACTTCCATATTTTGTGCCATTCTATCAGACACTTTTTGTGTTATTTTCTGTTATCCCATTCGGAATTGCTACATTATCCGACTTTAAGTTTCTCTTGGCCAGTGATTCGCCTCGTTTTGATACTCAACTTTAGACTCGCTTGACCAGTTTATTGGGCAATTTTAAATTTTAATTACAGTAAACAAACTAACAAAAAAAATAGACGCGTGCTTGAAACAATAGTTGTTTTTTGGTGATGGTATATGGATTTGAGTGACAGTGAATGATTTTTATGTAGCAGTTTCTCGATGCAGTCGCAGTATCAATTTGATATTTATAACGCTTATTCGATTGTTTGATTTGGTAACGTTAATTTACGAACAAAAATAAAAATGAATGATAAAATATGTTTTAATAGTATTTATTTTTTATAGATTATTAACTATTTTACATGGGTCTGTACCTTGTTCATTACTTGTATATATTTATATATGGAAATTTGTAGAGATACAAGTAAACGAATTCCACTGGAAAGGAACGCTTCACCTAGAAAAAGTCTCATATAATTACACTGTGTCAATCGTGTCAATATTTATAATTAGAAGCAATATTAATCGAGTATTTAGTCTGTTCAAACAAAATCATTTATCTGCGTGGAAAATGGGTGGTATTGAATAAAATGAAAATAAACCTGATTCAATGACATTATATATGAACTTATCATGCAAATCTAAAGCAAATATGATACTGATTTATATTTTCTGCGATTGGCCAGCTTAAGCTTGTAAATCTTTGTATAATACTTGTAGGTTTTTATTAAATGTACATTTACTTATATTAATTTCATAATACTTATATATGTAAAACATTAATATTATTTTATGTTGTAGAATTCCCATATTTCTCATACAAAGCGTTGATCACTTCTATTCTATTATCCAAGTCCTTTGGCAATGCTCTTTCTACTTTTGCTACTGCTTTTCCTAATGTGTTTTTGCATGCATAGGGCTCGCAGCTCTCTTCTATTTGGGTTTCATTTTTCTTTCTGTCTCGATATATTCTTTGCCTAATACGATTTTTTTCCAAGATTTGTTCTTTATCGTTGGACAATAGCCTCGCACGATATATTCGTGCTCTCTCTTTAGCTTTTTCACGGTAAACCGCTAACTTTATGGGGTCCCTTTTTAAAGCATCCCTGCGCCGCTTTGCCCTTAGCCTTCTTATTTCAGCAAATGATGCCTTCTAAAAAAAATATTAAAATTACAGGAGATTTTCGAAAGGAATATTAGAGGACTTTTGGCAACAGACCGTCTTTCCATTTTTTAATATTTGAAGACATTTACAAATTTAAATAGAATTGAGGTACTAACCCTGTTAGTTGAGGGAATAACCTTATTAATTGGGTCCAGAGATTCCTTGTTTCCGCACATGCTGCTAAATAAATCAAAGTACCACAGATTCGAAACGTACTTTTTGCCCGAGCCAATGTGGCCATTGTTCAAATAATCAATCTTTCGCAGCTCTTTATTGTAGTGGGACCTATACCCATTGATTTTCTTTTGCATTTCTTTCCTGTCGCCATCAGGATAGTATTCCCGATACTTGGTCAACAGGTTTGCGCATTGAACTTCTCTTTTATTGGGATCACGGAAATCTTCTGAGTTAATATCCCACAAGCCGGGCGAAGCGCGATAGGCCTCAAGAAATTGTATCAAAAATTTTCGTTTAGCGTGCTCCTCAGGACTGTCACACAATATATGTCAATAATATATTAAAATTAAATAATTGTAATTGGCAACGTAAAAGCATGGCTTACAGGTAAGTTGCAAATTCTGAAAAATATTTGCTGAAACATATAAAATAGGATTACAGGTTTGTTTAGGTTTTCGAATAGGCATTGCTCACCTCCAAGAGGATTCTTCACTATGCATTTTCACCATTGTCCCGCTGTTCTCTTGCGGTTCTATGTTTGCGGGCCCAATATCAATGCCTTCCATAGTCGGATATTCTGTTTTTACCACGAACGGCTCCAGTTTAATATCTGGCTCCGATTGCTCGAGTAATATAGAGTCTTCTGTGTTCCCATTTTTCTTGATAAAGTTCGTCTTGATGAACACTTCTATATTTTGGGTCATTATAGCAGAGATATTTGAGGTATTATTTTCTGTAATCTCGTTCAAACTGGCAACATTATCCGAGCTTAGTTTTCTTTTGTCCAGGGATTCGCCTTGTATTCGCTGCGTTTTTGCACTCATTTCTTCATTTGTGTTTATTTGAAGAAAAAGAATACGTGTTTTAATATATATAAATGTTTATTAACCGCTGTTAATAAACAAAACAAAAAGTTAACTATGTTCGAGACGCGTGCTTGAAGCAACAGCTGTTCTTAGTGATGGAATATGCATTTGCGTGGCAGTGACTCTTCACATGTATTTTTATGTAGCAGTTTCTCGAATCTGTCACTATAGCAACTCGTATTTGTAAATTAAATCGATTGACGTAAGGAAGACAGGAATTATTTATTGTTTGTCTTGGTTCCTAAAGTGTACGAATCAAACACGAGCACATCAAAACAAGAAAATTTGAAATATTTTCCAAGAGTATTTATTAGATATTTGTAATATTTGTTATTTGATTCTTGATTAATTGTGATATATTCCTGGTGTGTTGCGATAGTGTGAAAATCGCTCATCTCTTACAAAAATGTCTGCGTCACTGTGTGAATGGCAATATGAAGAAGAAATAGGCCTTAACCATTCACAACGCACAACCTTGCCGTTAGTTTTTAACTTTAGCTTTAAACATGTTTCTTTGTGAAAAGGCTTAGAAACTATGCTAAATATCGTTGTTGTGCAATCTTTCTTAATAATTGTTAATACAGGGCCCACTATTGGTTTTCAATAATAAAAGTTCTGGAAATTGATTTTATTGAAAACCTTGTCCTTAATTTTGACACAAATCAATTTCATTATTTTATTTTTCTAAAGCCTAAAGACTTTTAGGCCGGAACAAATTAAATATTTATAGTTGATCTCAATAAAAAAAATACTATTGAATTGATTTGTAGTCGAAATTCAGAACAAAGTCGTTTATTTTATTTAACGTATTACATAAAGCTGGACAATGTAGCACACTAAAACTACTTGAGACTTGTTTATATTTATTTAAGCTACATATTTAAACTATGTATATGTATAATTACTATTATATTTCGCTGGCATCTGTTAACCAAGCGCAGTAAAGTCGCTGCATTAAAGTTCTACGAATTATATATATATATTACATATTTGCTTATAAATAATTTCTGTATTATTCCTTTATTCAATTATTATCCGTTGACTAATTTAATGGATTCACTTAAACATTAAGCTACTTATTGGGCTAATGGTAATGCATATTTTAAGTGTTCTACGACCTCACATATAATTTTTCTTAGACTTTTAACCGCTATACGCGCGTGGGTGTTCCAAATATGGGGACGTTGTTGCGTCTCTGGGCCAACGGTGAGGCAGGCACCGGTGTTGGCCCATTGTTGTTGTTGTTCAGACGACGTTGCTGGCTATCCGAATAGGCACGTTCTATAAAAAGGTGGCATATATATCTATCAGATACATGTCCATATACATATATACACATATACATACATATACTTATATATATATATATACATATTTATATCATTTGGTACTATTGATTTGCCATGCTTGTTGGGTATTTTTGTAGGGTTGCTGCATGCACATTTTTTTTATTTACCAAATATTTTCCGTTTCTTCTGCAAATTGTTAACATGCAATTGAAATAAAAAAATATATTTACAATTAAATTTAATAATCGCTACAAATAATAATGGAGTGCGTGCTTATACTTGATGATAATTGAGAAAATTTGATGATTATATGTTAAATTAAATATTATTATGAACATTCCATACCCGACTCAATTTATATTACACACATAACTATTTTCTATCCGACTTTATCAATTTATTTATACGTTCTTCATATCTATTTGTTCTTCCCATCCAATCGGATTCAAGTATCTAGTGTTAATGTCACCTTTCTGAATGGAAAATGGGGGGATGGTGAATATATACAATCCAAAGTAGAGCACTTGCCAGGGGACAGCCCTTTTCCACAAATTCACACTACTGAGTGGAAAATGTGTGGGATTCTTAGTACTTAGTACATAGTACTTAAACTTAAGCATGCATGTCTCCAACCTATTTAAAGCTGATTTCAAGTGTAAATTACACTTATATTATCCAATGTAGTTTCCGTACCCAAATTTGATACTGATTTTTAAGTGTTGTTTTTTCTATATTATTTAGTTTCTGTACCAAAAGACGAAAATGTTTGTAATAAACAAAAGTTCGCCTGAATTTCTATCTTCGAATTCCAAATATTTTCTGTGTTACAATATTTTTCAATATTATATACAAACATATACGTGCATCTATGGGGACAGTTGCTTACCTCGAAACTTCAAGCCCTGCGCTTCGTTGATGATGGCCGCCAGTGCCGGATGTTGATAGCGCTCCCGGAATATAGCAGATCCGTTCATGCCGGAGCTGCCATTGCCGTTGAGCGTACCGTTGCCGTTGCCATTGCCATGGTGCATCATTTTGTGCTGTGGCGTATGTTGGGGCGTTAATGAAATCGGGGGCGTGGCATTACCATTCTTATAGTAACGATTCTGATTGGGATCATAGGCGGTGGTGTTCTGATCATGATTGTGATTCAGGCGATTAGCCAGCTTGATGGAGGCGCAGCGCTCCTCTTCGTTGTTGCGCATCTTCAATATGCGCTGATCCTGCACCGAGTAGCGCGAGCCGTGCAAGGAGTTCAGCTGGTTCAGATTGTTTACCTGGGCGCTCAACTTCTTGGCGCGAAAGCTTCCACCTGGCGAGTTGTTCAGCAGTGTGCCACGCGAAGAGCTGCCATTGGTTTCGGTGCTATCACGACTCGCTGCCTCCCGATAGCTCGAGGGACGATGTGTCGACGGCGGCGTATCCAGGCCGCTATCATGTGCCGAGCAGTCCAGCTCCTGTTTGTTGGCCAGGCCAGCATTGCTGCCGCCGTTCGTGTTGTGAGTGGGCAGCATTGGTTGCACTAGGGGTAAGGGAAGGTTCGATTAGTATACGGCTTTTATGAACAAAGCTAAGCGCGTGTCAGACAAGCCACGCGCACGAACCACAAAGTTATACGTGTTTCTTTGTGTCTCAGATAACTTAAGAAAAAGTATATTTTAGAAATTTACACAGTTTACTTAAAAAATGAATCATTTTTGCTTATATATTTCTACATTCATTGTTTTTTTGAAAAAAATATGTATAGCTTTAAAATCTTTTAAGATGAAGTCCTTTTTTAAAGATTAAAATTGCTTCCCTATCGGAAAATTAATTTTTAAAGGAAATTGTTATTAATCAAATGGAAAAAATAGCAAAAATATAATAAATATTACATTTCCTATTTGAATATACTTGAATTGAGTATAAACCGAGCTTAATTCGAAAGTTTCTAAGGTGACAAAATGTTAAAAAATATATAGAAATTTTAATTCTTAAATGAATTAAATACAAAACTTGTGCCTTGCATATGTATAAACGTTTTCGGAGTTAAAAATATTCTTTATAAAAGAATTCCGTTGTCAAGTTGACAAATTTTCACCTGGCGTTCGATCTGAGTATAAAATTCTTGGATTTTTTTCCAGGAGTCTAGAACTTCTTTGACTCATGTCACGAGATACGACTTGGGGTCGTAGCTGCAGTTGGGAGTTTTTTGTAACTAACCTGAGTGCCGCATATCGGTGGGCGCACGCGGTTTGCGATAGAGCCAATCTCTGTCCAGCTCGTTGCCATTGTCCGGTTGGGCGCTGATGCCACGGAAGAGCCGTGGCCGACGCAGCTGCACCTCCGCCTCCTCGGCGGTCTCCTCGTCCACCACCTGATTGGAGCCAAAGCTGCTGTTGATAAAAATGCGCCGTGGCGAGCCATACAAAGCGCCACCAGCCTGCGTAAAGCTATTTTGTGCCGAGGCATAGCCATTCGAGTAGCGACTCAGATTCGCATTGCTGTGGTGCGGTATCTTCTGTGGCGTGGAGTGATTCGTTGAGATGCCGCTCAAATGATGATTGTGATTCTCATTATTCAATGCACTCAAGTCCGGCACCGAATCGCTGAACAGAAATGGATTGGCGCCCGCATAACCATTCAAGCTGCCAGCGCCGATTTTATGACGCGCCAGGCCACCGCCGCCGCCGGCGCCATTCGTCATGAGCCAATCGTCCAGGGCGCTGGAGTAGGTGCTGCCTAGGCCGAAGTGCTGGAACTGCAGCGAGGCATGCGAGACGGGCGCGGCTAGGGAGGCCCGCGATCTCGGACCCTGGGCGATCTTCAGAGCGCGACGACGTTCCTTGGATGTCAGCGTGCATTCCTGTCCAGAAAAGAAAAACACATTAGATATATACCCTATAGAAAACTAACTACTAACTAAGACTTGCCTCCAGCAGCTCAAACCAATCCTCGAGGCCATCGTCGCAGCGCAAGAGCACGCGGCCCTCGCGTCCCAGCAGCAGCCCAATGACGCTGTACGAGCGTCGATTCAGCCATTCCACCTTCTCCACGTCCACTAGTTTAATCTGAAATGGTTTAACAAAACAATAAGCCAACGGTCTACAGCATTGTTACAATACAATACAAGTCAAAGGTTAGGCAATGATCGTCGGTTTCTCTGGGTCACGCAACAGGGGTCTGGGAATTGGATTGCCGTCGAACTAAAGACGTTCACGTTTCTTAAGAGCGATGAATGATCATTCAAAGAATTACATCATTTGCGTTGGGGCTAGTGCGTGATTGCAAAGGGAAACCCCAAAATTCCTTAAGAATTGCGATGTAACTTAGCAAATACCCAAGATGTCGTTATTTACAGAAATAATAATTCCGCGACAAAAAAAAACACATTTATAGAATTTTATTTTTTATTATTATCCTGAGCCGGTAAATAGCTAAAATTGCTTTAACAAAAGAAATAATTATCGCAGTCCCAACAACTATCAATAATTATTCTTATGATAATTATGTGTATATAGCTTAGTCCGAATAAAAAGCAAATTGCTGTGGAGATTTTTAAAACAAACTTTTTTAACAAACATGCCTAATTATCTCTGGTCTAATTAATTAAACTTTTTAGGTTTATATATCTATCTATATATTTCTAAAACTTCTCTCAACTCCTTGTTTGTGAACTGCACTGTAAGTTTTCTATTTGAGTATTTTAATTAAACATTTTTCAGCTTTCTTTGCCCCACAAAATTGGCTCAGAATGTTACGGGTTATGACATCAGCTGCCGGATAGTAGCGAGTAGTTCCATTTAAGATTGCATCGCACTTGCCATACGAAACTAATGTACTTAAATTTAATGGCAGACGCCATAAAATAAATTGCTACTCAATTATTTTTAGCACGTCTTTATGCAAAACTTTTGGCCCAACAATACAACAATTAAGTGCCACCCTCTATCTGTGGCCCCCCAATATATCTACCTTTCTCTAACTACTAAGCATTTCTTTTGCTTCTTCGTTTGGTCTGGTCTCTGTTCGCCTTTATTTCTTCTTAGTGCATTTTGCAACTCGGTTAAAAGTCATTAGGCCAGGCTGACAGTTTTTGCCTTGGCCAAGTGCAAAACTTTTTACCGTGTAGAACTTTTATTGAACTCATTTTTCCACATTGTTGTCGTTGTTGTTGGTCTCTGCTGGGCAAGTTTATGGGTTTTATTTGCAGGTTGTTGCTGGCACTGCCTTATGGCCTGAACTTAAAGTTGTTACAGATTCTGCGCTCCAGCTAAAAACTATACGAGGCCATTAGGCAAATATGTCAGCAGCGTGTGGCAATTAGCCAAGTTATGCGATATCAAACGTTGGCCAAGATTTTTCTTAGCTCCACGCTGCCTGCTTCTATATTTATGGCCAACCATAATTAAGTTGTTTTAAACGTTGCGGAGTGAACGGGGCGCGTTGGATTGTTTTTATGATAAATTGCGCGATTTATGTTTACAAAATAAAAATAAAAAATCAAAAGGCATTAGAATGGATTTGAAATACTTTGGATATGCGATCGCTCATCATGCTGCATGTCAGGCCCAAGAGGCCTTGTAGAACACCTATTAAAATGAGCCCCAATAAAATGATCTAAGGCAACAAGCAGCGAGTCGCTAGAATGCTCTTGTGTGGGCTGGAACATGCAAAATATTAATGTAATTTGTGGCTGCTGTCTATATATAAAGATTTTTGTAAATTTATATAGAACTGTTTTGTGCACAGAACATTTATTTGGGATTAGAATAAAATGTTTTCTTGTAAATTCAGCTCTTGAGTTTTGCTGCTAAGCTGTTTGACATTGATCAATATGAGACTGGAATACTTCGGATGAGGTATTTGGAAGTGCTTTGAAAAAGGTAAAAAATTATGAGCAAACATTATTAATTTGAATAACGAAAAGCTTTTAAATAGCTTAGCGATCATTCTCAGTATCCTTTTGCCTAGTCGTATACATTATTCGGTATCTGAGGGTGATTTGGGTAATATTTACAACACAGAAATTAAATGTGTCTAAGAGCAAGGTCTCTTAAAGAACAAATGGGCGTGTTACGCATATATAGGAATTGGCAATTTGTCTTAATATATAAATAGGTATTTCTGTGTTCAGTGTTATGACTTATTAAAAACGCAGTTCACTTTTACTTTCATGCCCATGTGCATAATTATCTGTCTATTAAACTAAGCCAACAGTTTAGCTGAACTGACCTCATTAAACAATTCATAAACGCATTTTCCGATTTTCGACACAAAATTTAAGAGTTTTTAGACAACAAAACCAAACTTTCAAATACAAAAAATCAAATCTGATTTTCAAGGTTGGCATTGATTAGCTGTTATTGTTATTGTTATTATTTTGTTTGTTGTTTCATATTTTGTCATATTTAATTGCATTGTCTGTCAAAACGTAACATAACTAGACGGCGACTGACTCATTTATGTGGCCCATTCATTATTGTATCAACAAATTTGATATGTATTGAGTACTCGCAATTCGAGTAAAGCCATTGATTTCGCACACTTTTGATTGATTTGTAAGGCTGTGTGCTGTGCACTGAAGTGCTGTAAAATTATAATAATAATATTTTGGAAAGCATGTGAATCATTTTGTCATCTTTTTAATTTTAATTATGCAAATGCATTTTTAACACGATTTCAACCTGCCGTCAGGCATTCAACTCAATTAATATCGAATCATTATATGAGGCGTACATCGGATTGCCGCATAAAAATCAATATTGATTTCATTCGCTGTCAAAGTGCAAAAGCTGCAACTTTGAGGCAACTTTTGTGCGACATGCAGGCTCTCGATTGCTCCGTTTTCCACTCTTCTCCCCTATATCATTATGCACCTACCCCCCATCTCACCATGGCTGTCACATCACCTGTAATTATTAAGCTTCGCTACGTTTCACGCGCGATTGATTTCCCCCATGGAAATCAACTGCAGTCACTGGGCACAGAAATGTTTCACCGACAGGCGAATCGAATCATCATTTTGCCAAAGGTAGACACAAAATTTGCAATCACTTTGAAATTTATGCAAAAATTAAATTAAATAATTAGACTGTAAATGAGACTGCCGCCTCTCCATCGCACACCTAATTGATTAAGTTGATTACATTGACATGGCGTTATTGATTCCAGTTCCAGTATCGCTTACTGTCAATTGCCACCGAACAGAGAAACGACGAAAAATACATGAGTATAAGAATACACTCTGAAGATAAAAGAATGAGTATAGAATCCTATTGTTTAAATTGGATAATTGTTGGGTTGTTTCCGGCTTTCGATTTGACTACAAATGATTAATTTTTCGGTTTATTTTTTATAAATTAATGTTTTATAAATAATTATCTTGTATAATTAGTTTGACTAGAGAACCATTTCTGAATAAAATATCCAAGATTGAGAAATATAAGAAAATCCTATAAGAGAAGTGCAATGTTTAGAAATAGGATACAGGCAGAAAATAGATTAATGTACTAAAATAAAAAAAGAAACAATTTGTATATGTTTATAAATAAATTTTAAGTTTTTAAGTGTCTAGTTTCAACATATAATTAAATCTGATGTTGTTATGATCAACAATTCAGACTTTCCAAATACACTTTTTACATTAACTAAAACATATTTTACACCCTTTTCAATTTCTCTAACCAATATAGTTGGAAAAAATTTAAACTTTGAAGTTCTTGATATATTTCCATATATATAATTATATATATATATATGTAAATAAATCCAAGTTCACGCTAAAATTGTGGTCTAATGAATGCCAAAGTAAACGTACTTATTGAACGTAAGAGTATTATGGACTTCAAAAAGTCGCCGACCCGGAGGCCTCTAATGAGGAAGGCAGCGAGTGGCCTCTCTGCTCAATGACTCGACTTTGTTCATGGTTCGTTTATCTGGTTGTTGTCTCTGCTAATAACTGTGGGTGTCTTAACTTATGAAGACCATTTTTGGTAACATTTTTGATTTTTGAAGGTCTCTCAGGTGTAATATTTATTGCTATGCGTGGAACAATTTGAATAATCACGAAAATAACAATAACTATTTTGTGGGGAAAAACTAATTCAGATAATGCTCAGTTTACACGTGTCATCATATTGAGATAACACGAGATTGTTTATTTTGTGACTATTTTTCGGGTAAAATAAACAAAAGAAGGTCAATTACATAAAATAAAACCCATGCTTTTATCGTTTGGTATAATATAATATTTTAGATATGGTAATATTATAGATTTTATAGCTCGTACTAGGAAAAATATTAAATTTAAGTGAATATTTTTTGAAAAGCTATATTGATTTATATATAAAAAAAAAAACTTCACGAGCTTGCATCAAATGTTGGATTAGCTACTCACGGAGCGTGTGAACACGGCTGCAATTATTGGGGAAGCTTTTTATATAATTGTATTCCACATTTCATGGCTTAAATAAACCCGTAATACCCATTTAAGGAGCTGTTTGCATTATTTCACTACAATTTGTCGCTTTAAGCACCTGAGCACAATTCCCAACTTGTTTTCCTTTTTCGCATTTAATTTCATTTACCTCGATTATCTTCTGCTCGCTGAATTGTTTATTTTGGAAAATTGCCCGCAATAAACAAAATGTTTGCTGCTGCAGCTTTAGAAATTTATTTTAATTTTAAATTAAACTGTAAACAACAGCGACTGCCAGCTATTTATTGATGTTACTCTTGCAGAGATTTTTTTGTTTTAGCTGAAAAGCTAGCAAATAAAACTAGAAAAAACTTAAATTAAATGAAAATAAAAGCATTTTCCCATGATCTCTTTACAGTTGTTGTTGTTGCTGTGCACGTTAAGTGGCATTTGTGTTGTTGTTGTTATTGTTGCAGTTTTATGTGCATTTTCCTTATTTGTTTAAAAAAACAACAACAACAACGACAATTTCATTGCAATCGTGTTTTTTACTGTTGTTGCTTTTCCTGTTTTCTATGTATTTTAATTTTTCCAGCTGCCTTTTAGCCTCGTATTTGCTTTGTTTTAATGGTAAAGTTGTGCGGCATTGCGTGGTAGGGGCAGGGGGATGGGGTGGTAATTGCTGCAGTTGGGCCAGTGGGCCAGGCTCATGTGGGACGAAACGATAGTTAGGCAAATTAACATGCAGTAGCTGCAAGTTTTAGCCAATTAGTTGAGTTTTGCCCAAAAGTTGCCAGCGTTGTAATGAAGTTTTTTTTTCTTCAATTTTGTTTGTTTATTTTTGTTAAGTAGGTAGGGAAAATGTAGTAGGAAATCGCGCTATTTTAATGAGAAACTGTGCGCAACGCCAAGTGCAAACAAAGTTTGCTGGTAAACTGCAAAAAGCATTTAACTAATGTATGAATTTCTCATATGTCTCGCACATCGATAAGTTCAGTTTCCCTACCCCTCCTAATAAAAGATCTCTATCAGGAGACCTCAAGACTGCAGAACGTGACTTTATGTGTCAGCCAGCCACAGTGGGGACTCAATTTATAAGCATTTGTTGTATTGTGTTGAGTTGTTTTCATTTATTTTTTCAAGGTGTGTCCTGCTGTCTGATATGGGACATAAAGCGCACAGTTAACGCCCTACCCTGTCCCCTGGCTTCTGCCCGTACCCCTGCACAGCTATAACTCTCATAAGTATGACAAAGTTATACTCGTAGTTGTCATAATGCTTGGCATAAATCTCGTTGTGGTAATAGAATTTTACAATGCGTAGTAAATAAGCATGAGATGTGTACTTTTTGTGCTGGGTGTGTGTATAGTGTGTGTTGCCTGTTAACTTGGTCAAGCTGTTGAGGTAACCCCTCTGAGGTAACTCTGGATAATTGAGGGGCGTGCTGGAGATGTACAGAGATATGTGCGCTAATAAAAGTTTTACACTTAAATATAGGGTAATGGCAAAGTCTATTGAAACTTCTTAAAATTTATGACGTCACTAAAGGCCTGCCTGCTAATTTTGTAGTTATTATATGAAAATAGTAAAAATAAGACAAGCTAATTTGATCATGTTGTAAACGAAATTTAGAATTATTTATTTATTTATTATTATTTTGTGGCAATTGTTTATGCATATAGCTGGAGATAGACTTTATATATATACAGTCTATATATATCATATATAGACTGATAATTCAAAGTATGTTATTGATTTGGGCAGATTTAAATAAAACTTTGGCAGTGGTACTTGTCTAGTATGTTCTTTAGATTAGTTATTTTTCTTTTCTTTATTAATAAATTTTCAAAGAAAATCAATTTAATAAATCGTTAAGTACTGAGTCGGAAAACTGTGAAGAGATGGAAGTTATAAATAGGCCACAATTTTTCACTAAAACCTGTTCAGTACTTGATGCTTGGAGCGTAACCTTTGACATATTGTATTATTAGTAATTTGGTCAATGTTTGCTCACCTTAAATTTAAATTGTCCCATATCCGAGGCACGTTCATTGGCCGAGCCCGAGGCACGTAGAAAGCAATGCAAATAGTCGCGGGTGAGCACAAAGTATCTGCAATAAAAGAAATAATAAATAAATAATACAAAAATTCAACGTTGGCTATATTTAAGGTCTCGTTGTAAAGGTCAATTGCTTCAAGATAATGATGATTATAATTCAATAATTATCATTCAGCAAAAGTAAGTTCAACAATTGGCAACAGCTTGCCAATTGCCAATGCAACAATTGGCCAAGATTAGACACACTTGGCCCTCTTCAACAGGCCACCCGCGGCGCACAAAATTTTTATTAATAAATAATAAATCATGCGGCAAAATAAAAGAAAAAAATACCAGAAGTCAAAGCCAAAAGCACTTGAGTAACTCGGTCTCAAAAGCTGCTTTACATTTTATGGTTTTCATAAGACGATGATAATAATATTTTATCGTCTCGGTCGCAGCAATGAGAAATCTTTTATTAATATTCTTTTGGCATTTATTTATTTTTCTTTCCTTTCAGAAAGTATAAATTTTATTTTGGCAAAACTTAATAATGCATGCCAAGAGATATTTGCTTATAGACTTCTTTAACTTTATCCATCGATTTATTTATGGCCAAAAGTTTCTGGCGAAAGCAATGAAAATTTGGTTTTTCGAGTTTTCAAAAGGTGGTTTCAAATAATTTACGGATCTGTTGAAAAAGCGAGTTTCGCTTAGGCAACTTCTTTTGTTGCCAAATTGCTCACTTCCCATTTGGCAGTTGGTTGAGTTTTGGGTTCTTGGCACTCGCAGCTGCCTATTAACGTGGTCAAGCAAATTGAGTTAAGGCGAGACGTTAAATGTTTTGTAAGCTCTTTGTAAAACCGTAAGATACTTTCGTACCGAGTTTGAGTAATTGCTTAACCATTGCTCGGGTTTGGTTAACAAAATGGAGCTGCAGTGATTAGTTAAGCTTGCTAAATGCTTGGAGCATGAAACCTAGTAAAGAGGTTGGGCATGCAGATTGCAAGAACTTAATGACTGGAAACTGAGGGAAACTAATGTGGAAAAAGTTAGAAAAATTGGCAAAGCAACGGGTGAGTTGTAGAACAATCCAAATTGACGTAAATGAGCGCAATGAAAAATAAATTTCAAATGAAAGAACAGGCTGATAATGCAAAAGAAACTAAAATTTAAAACTAGCATTAGCATTTTTGAAAATTTAAATCTCTTGGAATATAAGCTTAAAAGCTGTGAACGTATTTTTTAAAAATACAAGAGCTGTAAAATAATTGTAATTTGGGACCGCGGAAGCGGGTGAAATTTGATTTTTATTGATTATGGCAATAAATTTATATGCGTCAACCAAAGTTTTAATTACATATAAGAGAACTTATCAGAAATGTGTGTAGAAACATATTAATTATGATGGATGAGCTATTTCGACAGCTAATAAAGATAAGGAATGCAAGAACACATAGGCTGGGTATGCTGATTGATTTCGGCAGTATTGTGGGGCGTTTTAAGCCGTTGGGCAGGAAGCAAGAGCTGGGATGATAATCAACATAAAGAAAATGTTTAAAAATAATTTGCAAATTACAAATATATCAATTACAAAATAACAATGATAAAACAGCCGAAATAATGCATCAAATATCTGATTGGCATCATTTTTAATGGAATTTCCATGCAGTTGGCGAGATCAAATATGCGCAATTGATGGCTGCGCTTAGTGGCTATTAACTGTCAATTAAAAATATGCCGATAAACGTAATTACCAGCTCATTGAGAGCTGTGCAACGAGAGAAAGAGAGAGAGAGAGAGAGAAGCATAATTAAATTTCAATTAAATATACAACAAACAAAAACAAAAGCAGAGACCTGAATGCCCTCTGCCACCCACTCAATCAGTTGGTAGACCCATTCGCAAACGCATTCGCAAACGCATTCGCATTCGCATTTGCATTTGCATACCCCTATTGAATTTGCATCTCACATTTTGTATTATCTGCAGTCCCCAATATGAAAGCAAACTTCAGCCACTGTCAATTATGCGCTTTTTGCAATTAACAACCCCTGGTTAAATATATTTGCATAATTTTTGCCCGGTCAGCTCGAGAGGGTTGTTAAATTTAACACTCTTTTGCATAGGTATATTCGCAAATGCTGAAAGGTTTAGGAAGTTAATACACTAAGCGAAAAAGTAAAGAGTTCTGTTGTTTAACTAGACATACATATTTAAGATCACAAATAGGAATTTTTAATATTATTAGGACGTAATTCTAAGTACTTTACTTTAGTATAGAGAATTATCATGTATTTTATATTAAAACTGTCTAAGTCTAAGTTCATACTGAAAGAACTGAATCATCAAAGTTCTAGAATATTTAGTGAGTAGAATTAAAAAATAAAAATAAAGAACTAAGTTTATTCTTGGATATTTAATTATTATCAATACAATAGAAAACAGAATATATTGCCATACAACAACCTACTTTTCGACCGAGCTGTATGATATATTGTCCGATGTTGAGAAGATTTTGCATATATTTGAGGAGCTAGTGAAACTAATAATTGCCCAGTTATATATATTTATATATATATTGATAAACACAATAGTTTTTCTAACAAGAACCTACTTTTGAGGCTGACCTAGAATATATATACTTTATGTTGTCGGAAATGTCTCCTTGTACAATAAGCTATACGATTTTTTCTATGATCTATCCATCTAATGAAAACCCATAGTTCATCTTAACAGATTTTTAATTTAACTTTAACAAATTTTTAATTATAAAACTGAAACTTTTAAATATAATTTTAACAGTAGAAGATATTTTGAAATTTTGTTTTATTTGTCCTAAAATATGTATGAATGAATGAACAATGAAATGTTATTTAGATATTTGTATATACGTATATCTTACCTCTCCTTCCAACGCGAGAAGAGACGATCCCGTTGCTGTAAGAGTAGTCCGCGTTTAATTGGCCCCGTCATGGAGGCCACAGGTATGCGACCCGCCAGCAGCGATTGCTGTGGAAGATAAAAGTGCAACAGAACTGATTAAAATACGCATATATAATATATATACTTAAATGTATGTGTGTGCGACTATTAGGAGAGGGAGTTAGTTTTTGCTGATTTTGCAAATTTGCTTAATTTATGACAGAACATTTTCTGGACGTCTCAGCTGTTTTCGCTATCAGTCGCAGTGGCTGTCATAATTCTTTAGCCCCTGCACTTTACGGCACTTTAAATAATTTAAGCAACAACAACAAAAACAACAGCGAGTCGTGAACCTTTATGTCTGGCTCCCATGAGCTATGATTAATGTTGCTTTAAAAAGCCGCCACTTGCGCCGCTTTTCAGCCCCAAACCCTCCGGACAAGCATCCCCCCATTTAAGACACGCCTGCTGCACCATAAATTCCACTTTGGTGTGTGTTTCTTTTTTATGTTGTTGTGTGGTTTGTTGTTGTTGGTTTGCTCATAAATGCAATTTATTATCAAGCGGGTTGTGTTATAATATTTTATATTAACAAATGCTTCGTAGCTGGTTAAATAATATTCGTAAATATATTAACGCGTTATGTTTCATATAACTGGCTATGTTGGAGCATGTAGGCAATTATATATTGGGTTAATCTTTGCGGCTTACGCTTAAATTAACAATAAGCAATAATTTAGCGGTTTACGCATTGTGATGAACTCGCTGAAAACAATCCAATATTACTCTGGAGTGTCGAAACGGAAGCGAAAGCATCTATGAAATAGTATCTCTTAACTTGTAAAAGAGTCTGTGAACACTTCTACCAGAAATTCAATTACATATGAGTTATATCTGAGCTCTAGGGCAGTCTGTGCGATCTAACCTTATTAAAGGGAAAAAACGATATATTTCTGGCTTATAATTTTTTTTATTTAAAATTTCATCCTTAGTATTATCTTACTTCTTTAACATACAATTTAATTAACTCCTAAGTTTTCCAAAAATATCAGCTAACTGGGAACTTAGTATGCCGCCCACCAAATGGTCCCAATTTCAAGAATCCAGTCGAAGCTGATTTGCTCATTAAACTCAATTGCTGCTGCACGTTTCTACCCACAAAAAAAAAAAGACAACCTCAAAGTCCACTCAGTCCATGGAAACGTTCGAACTGAACAATAGTTTTTAATGTGCTAAATTAAGTTTCGAATGCCTCTTATACAGAGCGCATCCCACTTTCCCCCTCAGAGGAAATTACCCGCACAATTTCTTCTTGAATTTGGGCGCCCCGCGACGCTTTCGTACTCCTTGCCCCCCTTTTTGCCATATTGAATTTGAAGTTAGCCAAGGCATGCCTTTTGTTCTTGTTGTTGTTTGTGTCTGGGCGCTTAAACGTGACTACCGTTAATTTGGCCAGAACCTTATTTAATGCTCTGGCAAAAGCAACTGGCAAGAACTTCTTGCCATAGTATACTTAGATTGTGTGGCAACGATAAGCGAAAGACGTAGCACAACAGAAAAAAACGAAAAAGTATCTTTATTTTGGGTTTGAAAACCGAAACGGAGAAAAAATACAAAATAATACAGCGTGTCAAAGATTTATCGGCTTGAAAAAGTATTTCGAATTAAGCGAGCGCTTTGCTGCCGCTGCCTCTGCCTCTGCTGCTGATGATATCATTTCTCAGATTTGAGATTCACATACTTTTGGCCAAAATGTATCTACAGAATACATATACATATAGATACATACATAAAAGCGATTGATGCGACGGTATCAAGCCGGCATGGCCTTTAGCACCCATTGCCTACCACCCGGCGATAATTCATTTTTGGTATTTCGATTCATGCTTTTTTTTTGTCAAATCGAAAGCCCGTTAGCGCCCCGCTTTGCCCCGTTGATTGATTTCGTTTCGTTAGTTTGCACTGGCCATAAGCATATCATTAAGTTGTACGCCCCGAGCCAAATAATGCCACGGAGGTAGCCGCAACTAACCATTGGGTAGCTATTTTTATGGCTTTATAATGAACAGCCTAATGCTTGACATTTGTTGTCCACCATCTGGTACATAGCCGCTGATTTATCTGTCAATCCGAATTCTATACGAGAGATAAGCTAGCTATAGACGCTGTCGAAATTTCGCCTTAAATTTGGCTAAATGCTGATTGGCGCCGTTTGCATAGGAATTGGGAATTTTTAAAGTTTGTTTCGCAGAATTTAAATAGAAATAGTTGAGTAAAAAAGATACGAGAATTACATTATTAAGAAAATATTTATAAGTCTTTTGTTAATAAATTTGATATCTCAATTCAAGGTAAAAAACTCAATAATTTTTTTATAAAAGTTTTTTTTTTTAAATTGCGAAATAAAACTAACTTTTCCATTTATTTCACAAATTAAATCAATTAAATATATTTTACTAGTTTTGCAGTTAATTTAGATAGATATTTTAATTTATAATTCTTTATTTGAAAAATTTTGAAAACAAACTAAATATATGTTAGTAATAAATATATTACTGCTCATAAATTCTAAATGTGCTTGACCTCTTTTCACTCATTATCACCTTCATCAGCTGATTACTCAAAGCCATTAGAAACGAGAAAGAAGTGCTATCTTCGGCACACCGAAGATTTAATACCCTTGCAGACCCAACCTTTTCAAAATGCTCATAGTGCTTTGCCCGTATCTAAGAAGCACAGGGAAAATAGTTAATGCCGAGTATGGTTAAGATATCTTGAAAAACAAAACAGGTTTCCATACAACAACTTAATTTTCGACCGATCGTTCCTATGGCAGCTATATGATATAGTTGCCCGATGTGAATAAGATTTTGCATAAGTGGAGGGAGCATAGTAAAACTAATAAATGCCGAGTTTGGTCAAGATATCTTGAAAAACAAAAAAATTCCATACAACAGCATAATTTTCGACTGATCGTTCCTATGGCAGCTATATGATATAGTTGTCCGATCTTAATAGAATTTTGCATATATATGGGGACCGTAGTAAAACTAATAAATACCGAGTTTTGGTTAAGATATCTTGAAACACATAAAAATTTTCTATACAAAAACTTAATTTTCGACCGATCTTTCCTATGGCAGCTATATGATATAGTGGTCCGATCTTAATAGGATTTTGCATATATATGGGGAGCCTAGTAAAACTAATAAATACCGAGTTTGGTCAAGATATCTTGAAAAACATAAAAATGTTCCATACAAAAACTTAATTTTCGACCGATCGTTCCTATGGCAACTATATGATATAGTTGCCCGATCTTAATAGGATTTTGCATATATATGGGGAGCGTAGTAAAACTAATAAATACAAAGTTTAGTCAAGATAACTTTATAAACAAAAATGTTTTTCATACAAGAACCTACTTTTCGACCGATCGTTCCTATGGCAGCTATATGATATAGTGGTCCGATCCAGCTGGTTTTGACATATGAGCTGCGTGCAACAGAAAGAGGGAATTCTGCAAAGTTTCATAAAGATAGCTTTAAAACTGAGAGACTAGTTCGCATAGAAACAGACAGACGGACAGACGGACATGGCTATATCAACTCGGCTGTTGATACTGATGAAGAATATATATACTTTATGGGGTCGGAGATGTCTCCTTCTATGCGTTACACATTTCACGACAAAATTATAATACCCTCTGCAAGGGTATAAAAAAGGAATATACATAATAAATCCGAACAGAATAAAAGTCATGACAGCCTTTACTAATAAAGCCAAACAAAAACTTTTATTTTAAAGAAAAATTTGAAAAAATAAAATAGAAAAATAACAAAATTAAATTAAATTTTCGTCACGTTCTGTGCATGTAAATTATGGCCAAGCATATCAAATGTTGTTGTTGGTTTTGTTTGTTAGCTTTGTTCTTGTTGTTTATTCGTGTGTGCCCCATGTGGCGCGACTGGGAGCGGAAATAAAGCGTATAATTGTTCAACACGCATCTGTGAAGCTGTAAACCCTTCCAAGAACTTAGCTTTTATGGCTTGATATGAGTTATTTTTATGGCCAAAAGTGTGCCAAAAGCTGTTGAAAATCAAAAGGCAACTGTAACTGCAACTCTTCACTTTGCCAAGGGCTAAAAGTGTGGCAAAAAATCTGTCATAAATCAATCAAGTTGCGCAACCATAAATTGAAAATTATAAGATGAGCAGATGCGCAGATGAACGCGGCTGCAGATGATCATTGATGATGATGACACAATTGCTCAATAATACGAGCAGTATAAAATGTGCGCCTTCGGTTTTGGACTGAATTCGAGCCAAAAATTAAAGCTAACATAAGAAACACAATTTATGACGAATCCATGCGAAAGAGGAGCGTCAGCATCTGCCAAAGGTTTGCCACAGTTCTGTGTTGGCGGCGCATTGTAGTGGGTGTCTGTCTGTGTTCGAAAGTGACTGAAAAATGCAATGCGAGGGTTGTTTATTGAGTAGATAACCTTGGCTAGATGAGAAATGATTAATCAAAATTAGATTAACATTTATGCGGTTTTCCTCTTTTTAATTTTTTGGTATTTTTATAAATCTCATAGTTTTTAATAATTTAAAAAGGATTAAGATTCATAGAGATTGGAGCAATTTATAATTTTGGTTGCAGTCAACTAATTCTGAGTTTAAATATACTGAATATATCTGCTTTGGGCTTTTATATAAAAAGCGTCAATCAAAATAAATTAAGAATTTGATTCGTAAGAAGAGACATTAATGCAGCATCAGGGTCAGGGCTAGGAAGGCTTTTTCAGTCAATAGTTTTACTATTGAAATTATATAAATATAATAAATATTGCATTTAAAAAGTTAAAAAAAAAACAAAAAATTATATATTTGAAAATATTTTGTAAAAAAGGAAAATTTGATTAAAAACGTAATTTGCATGCGCCGTATAAACAAACGACCCTCTCAGAATGACATTACGCCTGTGGGCAGCTTAGAATAAGATGTTAGATCTTGGCATCACGACTCTAGTCAAGAGCTTAGCCCCTTTTTACTGCCTCAATAGCAGCTTCAATTCCAATTCCAACT